TTCGACCGACAGACTTCAGCAGCTTCCCAAAAGACCAGGACCGTCTGAGAACGAACAGTTTTCATGCAGCGGATGCTCTATTACCAGTCAAATATTTTCATATGCAAATGATTAGGGGTAGGGAGCAGGTGGAAGAGAGCCTGAAGAGGTGGAGTGATGCTCCAGATGAGTCAGTGGAAGCGAGCCAGAACACAGCTGTGTGATGTGAGGTGAACAGATGAGGGATCGTGGACATGTTAGACAAAAGCTGTTGAACATGGAGCTGAGGACTACAGAGGAGGAAGGTTAGTGTCTCTGTCCTAAACCAAGACTGTCAGGACTTCACCAAAATCAGAACCGAACAGAAATGTGGGACAGAGACGCTGTTACCATCATGGGTCAGTAATCCCAGTGGGCTTCAGGGAGTTTCTTGGAGCACTCTTGCTCCATCTCACAGAGTGACCTTCTGATCAAAGCAGCTCCTGTCCAGGTTCAGTGTTTGAAGCCCAGACCCAGACCCAGACCCAGACCCAGACCCACACCCTCTGTTGTCTCATGAGTCCAAACGTTCAAAGACACTGTCTGCGTCATCGTCACACAAACGTGCACCGAGCACGTCCACCAGCAAGTCACTGATGACGGGTGACTCTAGAAAACTGCAGATGTGCTCCAAGGACATTGTTACTAAACTTTAAGTACAAATAGTTTTTGTTACAACTTTAATGTTGAGTTTAGCACAAGCACCGACTCAAACATCCGTTCAAAGATCAAACGATGTCATTTCTGTAATTATGATTCACAACATTTTTTATGTAAGTTTTGATGCTGATTCCAGTTCTTAGTTCTAGAATGTAAAAATCACCGAGTCCTGGCTAAGATGCTTGGCTGTGGCAGCCATCTTGAATCGGGTTGACTCCAACACAGTTAGTGACGTTCCTTCATTCAACCTTTATTTATGCAGGTTAATCCCACTGAGCCTCCGGGACTCTTTTACAAGACAGACCTGAAACCAGATGTGAACCAGATGCAGTTTTCAGCGCTGCCAAAATGTGCCTTGGCTTGATCCTGTTGCCGGGGGCAACCAAAGATGCAAATTGGACAAGCAGTTGAAACACGAGCTTAAGAAGACGCGACAGAGGGACGTGAGAAGAAGAGTGAGTCCTTCTGTCCAGACCAACTGCCTCCAGGACGCTGAATGAAGCTGTGACCTGGTCACATGGTTGCTTCTGTGCACACACGCCAACACATGGACGACACAACACGGCTGGTGCCCCCACCAGAGGAAGCTAATGAGAGCAAAACCGGGAGCTCGGACTCATGACGCCACTGAACCGCAGCTGGATCGGACTTCAACCAGAACATTTCTCTCCATCTCCTGCCTCGGCTCATAAAAGTCTCTGTCTCGATCCCTTTGTTGTTGTGCTGCTTTCATATTTCCTGCTCACTCTCAGCCTGCCTGTCATTTGACCCGTGACGAGCCTCCGTCACTCTGGTCTCCGTGTGCTACAACCTCCTTCTCCTGCTCTGATCTCATTCATGCAGGAGACAAAGAAAACGCACGACGCCGCTCCGTTCTCCCGCCGCCTTCACGTGATGCTGACTGGCAACGAGCCACAGTAACTCTGTGGTTGCCAAGGGAACCGGCTTGGAGAGGAACACGATGCTGCCGCTGCCATTTTTTACTGAAAGTTTGTTGTATCAGTCGAAGTCGTCCTGCATTCAACGCTTCATTTAGTTTGGGAGAACAAGCGTTTGTTTCCTGCAGCGACTGTAACGCCCGGTGTGCTGAACCACGACAAAGTCACAAAGCAGCGAGTTTTTTCCGTAGATTAGTTCCCCCTCTGATCATTTCCTGGCTCTGAAACTTGTTGACAACAGAAACGTTTCTCACTTAAAGAAACTGGTCCAGGTGACACAACTGAACTGTTTTTGTTGTTCCCTGCTAATAATCCTGTTTGTCTTTGAGCTGCTGCTGTTGGCGACAAATAGAAAACCTTTTTTATGAAACAAACAACAACAAACTCCATTTTGAACCCTTTTTAATTGAGTTCCTGAGAAAGAGAACGTGAGGATTGTGAGACAACTCTGGGAGGGATTGACGACTAAACTGATACCAGGTCAAAACTGGGACTTGAGTTCAATGAGACACTTTGTGGCAAATAAACGTGCAGGTCATGTTTACAGTGCAGTGACGTGCACCCAAACGTATCAGAAGTACCAGTTTAGTGTCTTTAATTGTAGCTTTAAGAAATCTAAACAAAATGTTGATAAATGCTTACCCTCCTCCAGATGATCACCTGTGTTGTGATCGCACCCCCGAACACCAAAACTATGATGGTTCATCCAAATACAAGTGCCCGGCCCGTACAGCTTTACTGGACACGCATACTTCTACAGAAAAATAATAACTTCTTCATCAGACACAAGCCTGCAGTGCATGGGCGTCAGAAGCATCTGTAATGTGTGTGTGTGTGTGTGGGGGGGGGGGACATGTCCCCTTCACATGTAACGGTTGCGACGCTGCAGTATCACCATGAAACAAACATCTGCAACATGTTCAGCCGGACAAATCAAGAAAGATTCAGTTTATATTAACGTACGGAGGATAAGACGTTGACTGGAACAATTGAAAATAAGAATTCAGAATCATTTTCTGTTTTTGTTTGTAAAATAAAATCACTACTACAAATTGTTCCCAATAATTTAACAACCATCTGCTGTTTTCAGCTCAGTTTTCGAGCCGAGGACTTCCTGGCTCTGGTCCTCGCTTACTAAGCAGCTGGACCGAGTCAACAAAATGAAATAAAAAAGTGCTTCTGGGCAGCACAGTTTTAGGTTTCGCACTGCAGTGGCAGGGCTGTGTTACTGACAGAATCTGTGCTGGAGGAGTTCACACGCTGGGAATGATCGGCTCCTCGGCGTCGATTTACCTCCTCAGGTTCAAGATCAAGAAGATTTAAGAGTTTCTCACAACAAATGAAACAAATAAGAGCTTAACATCTAAACTTAGTTCAGTCTTTAACCCCTTCTAAACCCAGCTGTAACCATGCCCAAAGAAACACTGACATCTGAACATTAACCTGAGGGAGGAGTAGCCGGGCCCCGGGGGCCCTGGGCCCTGGGAGCCCTGGGAGCCCTGGGGGCCTGGGGGCCCGGGGGCCCGGGGGCCCTGGGGACTGCTGGCCTGCTTCAAGCGGAGCAAACACCTAAAACTCAACTTATTCCTGCAGAGCAGAAAAACTAATCTGCTGAGTTTCCTTTAGCATTAATAGTTTTCTCTCTTTCTTTCATTGCATATTAGTAAAGGGCTTAAAAAACAGAATAAAAAATAAATCTAGTTAGAGAAGAAACCACACCATCAGAATCCACTGTCCCTCAGGAGGTTTGAAATAAATCAGCATTGAGCACATTTCCTGGCAGCAAGAAACAGAAAATATGAATTTTCCTAGAAACTGAGGTCTTTCAGAATCAGCAGTTAGTGTTGAGGATAAAACTGTAACAATTTAAAATAAATCATATCTTACACCGACACTAAAAGATCAACAACAAAGACTGAAATAAAAGAGTAAGCAGCAAACTATGATAAAAATTAAACATCAGATCCCTCACATCTGTTCAACATCTCACCCTGTGAGATAAATCCACCCTTCACGTGTTCCCTCTCCTTTCCCATCATCTGTTTCCTAATTTCACTCGTGCACACTCTCAAACTGAGGCACAAAGTCCCTGGAAACCTCCAGAGATGAACTCATCGAAACATAAAGACAGACCTCGAGAAAATACTTCATGGAGGCTCTGAGCATGAAGAACGGCTTTAAGATGGTCCCGCTCGACTCCGCTGGCTCACCGTGCAAACTGCATTACACATTAGGTGACAAATCAGATCACTGCCACATGCTGAGCACACGCATGTGTGTGTTTCCTGCTGTTAAAGGTTTGACCTCTGAACCCAGAGCATTCATCTTTGAGGCTCACGTCTCCAAACAAGACGTTTCTCTGTAACCATCTCGGAGTGCGCCAGAAATCTAGAACTTAAATAAATCCGAAACAATAAAACAGGAATAAATTAAGGTTCCATTAGAAATCCAGAACAACGGCGTCGTCTCTACTCCCATCATTCTGTCATACCTCCTCGTGTTTCTTTACATAAATCTGATACAAACTGGTAAAGTTTTGCTGTTAAGCCACTTTTTTTTAGTTTTATGGTTAAACTTAAAGTACAAGTACTCAAAAAGTACTGAAATATCCGGCTTAGTATTCCTTGTAGTCACAGATATTATCTTCCACCTTTCGTGCTGGACTTTTAGACTAAATCTCGTGTAGAGAAGTTTGGACTTGTAGCAGCTCTGGTCAATCTTTGAAAACATTACGCACGATCTTGAGCAGCATAGCAACATGTCAGAGAGGTTTCATTGTCATTTCTGCTCCGTACAAGAACACGTTGAACTTGTCAGTCGATCTCTTGTGCCGGTACCAAGCTGGGTAAATGGTGAGGGTTGTGTCAGGAAGAGCATCCGACATAAAACAAAATGATCAATGGCCATGAAAGGACAAACTCCCCCTCACCTCCGATCATCTGCACCTTTTATTCAGCAGCACACGTCCGCCAACGTTAATAACTACATAAGCAGTCAAAGCTTAGATAAAAATGTTGGGGGGGGGGGGGGGTCAGATTCAGACCTGTAATTACTGTTAATTTGTCGGGTGGGGGTCAGAAATGACGGCTATGGGTCGGGCCGGGTCGGATTTTTGGGGCCCAAATGCAACTTAACTCTCAGACCGACTGTAAACAGGACACTCATTTAAAACCTCAGGACTGATGATCTATAAATAAAGAGTTTGCTGCGATGGCGCCATGAAGGATCCTCCATTGGAGATCGCCAGTCCGTTTTTTTGTTGTTGGAGGTTTGTGAAGGGTCCTCCACTGGAGCTTCTGATCTCCGAGCTGGTCGTCCCACACACTGACAGCTCTGTTGTGCAGAGTTCTCTTGTTCAGGATCTTGACATGTCTTATAAAGTACTTTAGGACCCGTTCTGCACAAGTCTATCTTTGGGTCTGTGCTGCGTAGCAGAGGACCACTACTGTCAGTGAAGTCAGGATCCAGGTGGATGTCTGGGAAAGGGTCCGCTGGGTCAGGCAGGCGATCCTCCATGGACCACAGCTGCAGGAGATGCCCCTCCCCAGCTGTCATCCTCTCCCTCACCAGGTCCAGGAAGTGCTGCACCAGCCTGGCAGATTGGACCCCAAACAATGAAACCACCTCTCGGACACTGGAAAAGTCCGGTCCGGCTGCCTCCACCAACGGGCTCAGGGTCAGCACCCCAGACCTGCACTGCACCCCTGACAGACCTGGCACCGTGCTGTCAGAGACGTCCATTCTCACTCCACAGACTAGTGGTTCCTCTAAGAGCCACTGCAGAGAATTATACGTTCTTGATCTGTTTGGTTTAAAAAACGAAAACATTTTGAAAACACAGATAAAACTGGAGCATTAACTTGAACAGGCCAGCACTGGTTAGAAACAGAGCAGCATCCAGCCCCAACCTGCTCACACGTCTCAGGATGCAGCTGGCCACGTCCCTCCACAGTGTCAGGAGGTCCTGCCAGGTACTTCTGGAGGAACTGTATTCGAAAAGTGGCCGTTCTGCTGGCCAGGTGGACAAGGCCCTGTCCCCCCTCCTCTCTTGGTAAGAACAGGACCGGCTGTGGCACACAATGTCGAGCGTTCCAAAAAAACTCCACCATCTCGGACTGTATTTTTACTAACAGGCCTGGACAAACTACTATGAAGGAACACATCCCCCCATCTTCAAACATCTTCACTGGCTACACAAAAATGTTGCATTGACTTCAAGATTCTCCTCCTCAATTTCAAAGCTTTCCATAATTTGGCACCTCTGCACCTCACTGATCTTCTGTTATTAACACACCTACCCACATTGGAGGATCTGTGGTGGAAGTGGTCTCCAGCTACAAGTACTTGGGTGTGCACCTGAACAACAACCTCAGCTGGAGCAACAACACCACCAGCCTGATGAAGAAGAATCATCAGAGACTCTACTTCCTCAGACGGCTGAGGCGAGTTGGTCTGGGAAGCTCAGTCCTCACCTCCTTCTACAGGTGTGCAGTGGAGAGCATCCTGTGCTCCAGCATCAACGTGTGGCATGGAGGCTGCACAGCTGCAGAAAGAAAAGCTTTGCAGAGAGTGGTGAAGGCTGCACAGAAGATGTTGGAGTCAGTCTCCCCACCATCACAGACATCTACACCTCCAGATGCAGGAAGAGGGCCACCTGCATCATGAAGGACCCCACTCACCCAGCACACACACTTGTTGCTCCGCTCCCCTCAGGAAGGAGGTTGAGGAGCATTCAGTGTAGAACAACTAGACTGAGGAACAGCTTCTACCCTGAGGCTGTTAGACTCGTGAACATCTAACCAGAAAAATCACTGTGAAAAACCATATCATGCTGCTGCTGATCTGTTTCATGTTGCTGATCAGTTTCTTGTTGCTGCTGATCAGTTTCATGTTGCTGCTGATCAGTTTCATGTTGCTGCTGATCAGTTCCATGTTGCTGCTTATCAGTTCCATGTTGCTGTTGATCAGTTCCATGTTGCTGCTGATCAGTTTCTTGTTGCTGCTGATCTGCATCATGTTGCTGCTGATCCATTTCTTGTTGCTGCTGATCTGTTTCATGTTGCTGCTGATCAGTTTCTTGTTGCTGCTGATCTGTTTCATGTTGCTGCTGATCAGTTTCTTGTTGCTGCTAATCTGTTTCATGTTGCTGCTGATCAGTTCCATGTTGCTGCTGATCTGTTTCATGTTGATGTGTTCATGCGTGTTCATCTGCTCACACAGACTCATGTTCGTGCTGCTGTTCGACGTAATGTTTTTATGTTTTAGTGCTTAGTGTATTTTTAGCTGATGTTATTCTTAGTTCATGTCTTTGATCTTATCACTGTTTTTCTTTACATGTTATTGTTGGATGTAACTGGGACCCTGTGGACATAATTTCATTCCAACTCCAAGACCAACCTCCCAGAGGAGCGTCCCATCAACCCTGTTCTCTGCTCTCCAGAGTTCCAGTCCAGGTCCAGTGGTCCAGCTCACTCCTTCTTCACTTCTGTAAATAAACTCTGTTAAGACGCACTCTTGGTCCTGAAGACATTCTTCTTGTTCCACATAACATCTGAGTATAGAGCCAAACCTTACAGGAGCAACTTGGCACTTCCTTAAAAACAGCAGGTTAACCACAAAGAGACGTGTCAGGCCTTTAATGCACGACGCCCTGCTGAGTAAAGATAAAATATGTTCTTCATGAAAACAAGGCTGATGTCTGATTTCTCCTTTGCCTCTTGATAAAAGGTGTGTCTGTGGTTTGTGTCTGTTGAAATAAACATAAATAGGCGCACTGTTGCTCAGCGGTAAGTAAACTTTACTTGTCCTGGAGGCCCAAAGGGCACATCAGAACAAAGAGGGACCCATGCACACACCTGTGACGCCCCTCCCACCTGCCCACAAAGCAGCATCCTGCACAATGCTGGTGGCTAATCATAGAACAAAGAGAAGCTCCCGTCACAGACTGCTCTATTGATCAGCCTCAGACAGCAGCAGGGATTGGTCCACCGCAGCTTTGTTGCAGCAGGAAGAAGTTACCGCTTAGCTGCAGGTAAAAGGACAGGAAAAGCTTCATGTGTCAGAGCGAGCGCTGCTCTCAGACCTTCACTCTGACGATGACCTGTTACAGCACGCCGATGAAAAGCTCTTTAATAAACGAGGACCTCTTCGCTCGGGTCAAACCCAAAGGGGGGAAATAAATGTCTGAGAGCCAGAACTCCCCTTTTATTCTAAATAAAAGATCTGTCGTCTCCATAAAGCCGCGCCTTCCTTTAAATTTTGACATGAATATAGAAGAGGGATAGATTGTTGCACAGCTGCACCACTTGTGTCCTAATCCTCAGCGCATGAAGCTTTTTGAACATCTCAAAGTTAAAGAGTAGCATTCCTGCATGGACCAAATTCTAAGGACCTGTTCTGTTCAGAGGGGGAACCTTGGATGTTCTCCGTCTGCCAGACCCGGTTCTGGAGGGCAGTCCGGCAGGGCAGCTGCTGCGCTCATTATTATCATCAAGCTGCTGATGGGACCTGCTAACAAGACTATGCTGCTAACAGAACCTCACCGCTAACAGTATCATGCTGCTAACTGGACCATGTTGCTAAGAGAACCTCACTGTCATCAGAACCACTCTGCCAGTAGGACCATGCTGCTGTAGATTTATTTATTTTTCACTTTTGACGCCTTGCTTCTGTATTTTTGCTGCATGTTTTGAATAAATCACAGTTTATGTTAGTTTTGGGGCTCTGAGCCCGACTCCACTTGTATTACGTGTGTGAACTAGAGCCGAACAGAACCTGAGAATTGTGCTGCTGCTGTTCGGTGTTCTCTTTTCCTCATCTACTCTCTATGTTGTATGTAACAGGTCTCTCTTGTAAAGGAGTTCCTGAGGCACAATGGGAGCTAACCTGCATATATATATATATATATATATTTGCTTTTTTTAATTGTTGTTTCCTCCTAACGGCAGGATCAAGAACCACTGCATCGACCTTTCCTCTCTAGCCCCGTTAAAGAAACAAAAAGTCTCTGGGAGTGAAAATGGATCCTTCCATGAAACTTAACTGTCATGTAATCATGACTGTTAAATCCTGCTCTGTTCAGTTAAGGTGACTGTCTAAACTGAAGTCCATACTGTCCAAAAATAACCTTGAGTCAGTAATACTTGTGTTCATAACATACAGGCTCGATTACTGCAATGCTCTTCTGTTGGAATCAGTGAGATCTCCATCGCATGATCACAACTGGTCCAAAATGCTGCGGCACGATTTTTAACAGGTACAAGCAAAAGAGAACACATTACACCAGTCTTGGCCTCCCTGCACTGGCTCCTGGTTCACTTTTGAATTCAGTTCAAAATTCTTCTGTATGTTTTTAAATCACTGAAAATTTCTGCCCCCTCTTATCTCACTGATCTGCTGCAGCCATATGCCCCACAGCGCTCTCTGAGGTCAGCAGACCAGATGCTCCTAGTGGTTCCAGGCACTTGCTTTAAGCTCAGAGGTGACAGGGCCTTCTCTGTTGCAGGTCCAAGACTGTGGAATGAGTTACCACTGCATGTCAGGCAGGCTCCCACAATCACTGTTTTTAAGTCTCGTTTAAAAACCCACTTTTATTCTCTGACTTTCAACACTGTGTGATTTGTTTTAACCTGTCTGTATTCTACAGTGTTAGCCTTTTGTTATTATCTTTTTCTTTTTGGATCTATGTATAGTTTACTGTGGGCTTTACTTGTTAGTTTCTGCTGTACAGCACTTTGGTTGGCCTTGTTGCTGTTTTAAGTGCTTTATAAATAAAATGGTATGGTATGGTATAGTATGGTATGGTATGGTATGGTATGGTATGGTATGGTATGGTACAGTATATGGTACGGTATGGTATGGTATAGTATATGGTATGGTATGGTATGGTATGGTATGGTATGGTATGGTATGGTATGGTATGGTATATGGTATGGTATGGTATGGTATATGGTATGGTATGGTATGGTATGGTATATGGTATGGTATGGTATGGTATATGGTATGGTATGGTATATGGTATGGTATGGTATGGTATATGGTATGGTATCAACAATCTGCAGACAGACCTGCAGGTGGTGCAGCTGCAGCTGGTTGTAAAGAAGTTCAGCATCAAGAATTCTGTTGCTGGTCTGACCCATGGCCAAGGGTCAGACCAATGAGACCACCATCACAGAGAAAAAATACAAGAATCTGCCACGTATGCACATAAAAATATATCACGCATTCAAAACAGAAAAGCTCGTCCCCAAACACACGACCCCGTCTTGCTCTCAGCTGCATTTCCAGCCATCACTTCAGCTGCTATCGCAGACCAAACGCACATCTGGATCAACATGTGGGTGTGAGATTAAATTCATGATGTGGGTTCAAAGAAAGTACAAAACAAACAAACAAACAAACAAACATAAAGTTGCAGTTTTTGTGTTTGTTATAGTTGTGTCTTTTTCTTTGTTTTCATTTCATTTTCTTGTTCAGTGTATTTACGAGGGAGCAATAGTCAATAATCAATAGTCAGGACAAACAAGTTAAACAGTCATTTTTTAATATTTATTTACTTGTTTTTCCAAAAAGCTGATTTAATTTTGGTTTGTTACATTTTAGTAAGTGTTGTGTTTTGCACTTTCAGACAAAGAAAAAAGTAAAATAAGTTGTTTTTCTTGAAGGAAACATCTTCATGTCCAACCATGAAACAAAGATCTCACTGAATCTGTTGGCAATGACTATCAGCTACTACCACACCC